TATATTAAATATTATTTATGTATTTGTTGTCTATCAGCTGTAAGTTCCATGAGGCCCAGGACTTTCTTTTGTAAACTACTTTATCTATTCCTAGCACCTAGAACACCTCCTAGTACATAGTAGTTGGTGTGTAAATATTTGTTTATCTCTTAAAGCAGAAGGTGGTATGGTCAATTGCTAACAAATTAGTGGAGTTGAGGGTAAAGAACAAGGTATTTGGAGAACTTGATAAGAACTATGGATGATGATGGATGATGATGGAACCCCAACTTAAACTGGTTGAGAGAATGGAAGAAAGGAATGGATCTTGTGACTATAGACAACTCTTATCAAAAAGTGTTATGAGCAGAGTGAAACACCAAAATGAGATGGCAGTCAAAGGAGTCTTGGTATCAAGAGATTTTTCTAAGTTGGTGGTAATAGAGCATATTTATATATGAAAATGAATGATTCAGTAGAGAAAGATAAGTGTCTGATTCAAGTGAGAGGAGGGCTAATTACACAAATGAAGCCCTTGGGAGGACAAGAAGACATGGGCCACCTATAATTAATGGGAGATAGAATGATTGGCCTTATGTAGGAGCGAGGACACTTCAGCTGTAACAAGGGGGAAGTAAAGATTGTGAGTTTCAGATGCAGGGAAGTTGATAAAATTTTAGTTGACTTTTGCCTGAATTGTTGGGATAGGGCAACCCCAAGTCTGTTTTTTTATGAAAACACTTTACCCAGTTATCACAGAAGGTATCATAGTAAACCATAAAGTTCTAGAGACCATCTATATTCCTATTTGGAGTGTTTTTACAGTGTACAAAACCATGCCTTCCATTGGGGTTTATGTTTAATAGAAAAAGTGATAGGGATGCTAAGAATAGACTGCAGCCACTGGCAGCAGAGTAACCATAATTCACTTTCTCTGATGCATACTCTTTTGAGATGTGGGTTACCTATGAATCTAACCTAGAAACATTTTATAGCACTGAACAAAAGAGGGGCTCTTGAAAGAGGTGAGGGTGAGGTTAGCTACTACAGCATTTTATATTTTGCTCAGTTTTTGGAATTATTATTTTATTTTATTGATTTTAGAGAGAGGATGGGAGAGAGAGAGAAAATCGATTGGTTGCCTCCCACATACACACCCTGATGGGATTGAACCTGCAACCTAGGTATATACCCTGACTCGGAATCGAACGTACCACCTTTTGGTGTATGGGATGATGTTCCAGCCAGCTGAGCCACACCAGCCAGGGCATCAATGTTCAGAATTTGAGGAGATATTTAGGCCTAAATCCTTCTGAGAATAGCAAGGACTCCTTATCATTTTTTTTAAAGCCTGGGAGAATTTTTAAAAGCCAAGGGATGATTTTGGAACTATATAGTCTGGGTGATCGCATGCATGTACCCACATGAGGAATTTAAGAAGTAAGACAAGCCCAGCTGGGCATAGCTCAGTGGTTGAGCATCGACCTAGGATCCAGGAGATAGTGGTTTGATTCCTGGTCAGGGCACGTGCCTGGGTTTTGGGCTCGATCCTCATCAGGGACCGTGCAGGAGGCAGCCGATCAATGACTCTCTCATCATTAATGTTTCTCTCTCTCTCTCTCCCCCCCATTCCCTTCCTCTCTCTGAAGTCAATAAAGATATATTTAAAAACAAAAAAACAAAGAAGTAAGACTAAGAGAAGAAATAGGACATGCCTTATGTTGTGGAGACTGTCTGATTATTAGTATGGGGAAAGCTTAAAGTAAAGAATACCATGCAGCCTGCTGGGATGTTCTGACAGAATCCAGTTTACATGTTCTTAAGCAATGTGAGAATTTTGTGTTAACAAAAGGCGTATTAATAAGCAATAGTAATGATACGTTCCATTTAAGTGCACATAATTATTGTCCATCTTTCCATGAAAAATTATTTTTTATATCTAGTATTCTATTACAATAGCCCATCCTGTATTATTTCTTAAATAATCAAGTTTGAAATGTTTATAGGATTCATGAGTCATGAATATGTTAAATATTGGAATATATATTTTAATTTATTGTTAAAATACCATGACCTCTAAGATAATTAGCTGTAATTTATTTATTCTAATTTATTTATTTCTCTCTTCAACAATCAGTAAAGCTTTGGCAGAGGGAACAGATGATCTTCATGTAGTGAGATGCTCTGAAATAATGTACGTTACGGGCTTTAAGAAGAAGAAATGTTTCTAAATAGGGCATCTCTTCACAGTATGGTAGTGAGTAGCTGAAGAGGCCAAGTAGGCCTAGGGCAAGAGAAGCTGATGGTTGATGATGACAGATACTGAAAGCAGTGAGATGATACAGGAGATAGAAACTGAGGAAAATGAATTGTCACTGTTTATATTAGTTTATAGGGCTTGGGGGTTGAGATAGGGCAATGTAGCTAGCAATAGAAACAAAATTCATCTTTTTCACAGTACTATACAATATCCTGTACTTGGTCTTTGACATTAGTAAATACTTTTCTGAAATTATGATTTCTTTTTAAAAAAACAAAACCTTTCTTGGAATGCACTGAGATATTTGAACCATTAGAAGAGAAATATGGAAGTTTTGGGGCACCGTGTATGTGTGTCCGTTCCATGCTTCTGCCACTCTTGTTTCTGGACAGCAGGAATATGGATTGCTCTGTGTCCACCTTCACCCCAGTCCCCTGCCTTGGGTCTAACTTGGTGCAGTGAGCTTCCTCATCGGTGAAGGAAATATCTCAGTATTACTGTTTAATTGGGCAAGCTAAGATAGTTGACTTTTTGTTTCATGATTGACAAGAGGTCTGCTAAGAACTGAATAACAAACAAGATTATAGGATAGTTATAATGGTAAGAGAGACTCCTGAGCTTTGCTTGCATCTTCTCTCACCCCTCACTGTGCTCCTCCCAGAGGTAAACATTTATTTCTCCACTTTCTAGACAATGAAAGTCGCACACTGAGCAGTGAGGTAACTTGCCCCAAATCACCCAGTAAAATACTGGGAAATTCTGCCCCAAATGGCAGAACTGACTGGAACCCATGGCTTCTGACCCCATAGCCCTCATTTTTGAACATTTTTTTCACTTTGGGAAAATGCTTTCTGCATTCCAGTAACAAATTTAATGCAGAATAAACATAGGTTTGTTAGCACAGTCTATGGTTAGGCAACATCGATGGTTACAGGTTTTACTTGTTTGCTCACACTGGTGAACAATCTCTTTTATTCCTTCCCTAAAAATCATCTTGACTATTGTGTCAAATATCTTTGTATAAATTGAAGAACTAATTTTTAAGATTAAATTGTAATCTTTGCCTCATCTGACTTGAAATGCCTCCACCAACCCGTTCACATTCAGTACAGAGTATAACTAACATGTGGCCTGTGTTAGACATTTAACAAATGCTTATGGAATGAATTCTAATGAAATGCTCAAGATAACTACTGTTTAGAATGCTCTCCTGAGCTCTGCAAGGCCTACTGGCTATTGCCACCAAACCTAACTTTACACCTTGCAGAGGTGTAGTGGGGGGGAGGGAAGAGAAGATTTACAGGCCAGTAACTATACAAGTCAAATTATTTTAAATGACCACAGATGAGTTAATTTCTTACTTTTCAATTTTTAAGCAACATAATGTGATTATTAAATTCAGATAAACTGCTGGTGTAACTATCTTTCTGTCAAACTTCATAATCACAAAAGCCAATTTTACCTTGCTGGTACCCACTCTTAGCTCCTGTCTTCTAGTGCCTCATACTGTTTCACCAACTCAGGCAGAAATGAAGCCACGTCATCAATCCTGTCTCTGAATCCGGACATGGTTAGTAGTGACCTGTTGCTAAATCTCAACGTTCTCAACAGTCTAAATTCACTGTTAGAAAATGGAGTTTTGGGTCAGCAGCTCTTTGCACTTGTTTCTTTGCTCCATTCTTGGTAGCAGAAATGAAGCTTCCTTGTTTAGTTATAGGGTGGTGAAAGCCATGGAGAAGAGAATTGACTTGTTAATTATTTTGAACAATCATAACTGCTGCTTCATGGAACCATCTTGGGTGGACTTAGAAGTTAGGATGTGGGAACCCTGTTCGCTCCATGCTGGCTTCCTAGGACTGTGATGGCAGACCAGTATAAATACTACTGCTCTTTGTTGCTGGTTTACCAGCCTGAGATGGAAGACGGTCCCAAAATTCTCATTCAACTGCTCGTAGAATCCAGGCAGGTTGTTTCAATGACTGATGATGGGCAGATATAAGGTGATAGAAGAGGTGTAACACGACTCTGGTGAGCTGGAGAGTACATGCCTCACCTAAAAAATGCAGCCAGCCGCTGCTCTCCAGCTTGTTACTGCAATGTATTGAGTCCCGATGGGTGCGATTTGAAGACCAGGGTTATATCATCAAAGATTCATTCTTTTGTGCTGAAATTAGTCTTTCTTCCAGATAGCACTGGAAACTATTAAATACATTTTTTCTTAAATCCCGTTACTTAGGAGGAATGAAATATCAGCTCTTTAATCTCTATGGGAAGAAAAACTGGAACCTTGGTAGTAAGAGTTGAATTCCTGAATGTGGGGCCACCTACAGTTAAAAAACAATGGTGGATTAAAGCTGCCAGTTTTGGGGCTCCTATTTGGAAATGTCAGAATTCCTTGTAAGTAGAAGCCGTTATATCGGTCCTATATATTATGTAGATTCTCCAAGTCTTTCCAGGATGTATCCTTCATCCTACACAGTAAATATTAATAGGAAGAAGTTGCTACAACTGTAGTCAGTACACTGGAGAAAAGTCATTCTTAGCAAACTCATAGTCACGGTTTACTCTTTAAAGGAGGAAGACCTCAGAAAAGAGACTTTTTGGCTTTCTGACTGTGTAAAGATGACTCCTAATGTTCATTTTACTACCATGGAAACTAAGACGAAGGGCCAGGGGTTGTAACTGTGGCCTGTGAAGGGAGACTAGTTACCTGACTTTATTGGATACAGATATTTTCATAGAAATGCTCATCACTAATGAGTACATCAAAAACCATACTTTATTTTATGTATAGCAATACAATTTACATATTAAATAACACTATAATAGAATGATTTGATATAGTTTTAAACAGAAGAAAAAAGGGAAAAATTTCAGGTTACAAAACCCCTTCCCCTGGAACAAATTAAAAAAAAAACCAAAACACTTTTTCCAAATGGGTCAATGCAGCAAATGTATTCAGTGACTATGTCTAATTCTTATTGCACAAATGATCAATGGAATTAAAAAAGAAAATCCAACTCTCACAATCACTGCCTCAAAGAAATAACACATGTTGGATTCTTTTGGAATGCAAAGATGGTTCTTGCTACCTCAACACACAGAAAGTTGAATTCACATATCCACCACAAAAACCCAATATGAAAATCAAAACCAAAAAAACCTATGATGGAGTTGAAACTAGAAAAAAATTAGCTTTATATGAAAATATAAAATTCTATGATTATATACCATAGATACAAAGTTCCCAGAAGATGCTTATCCAAGCAACAAAATATTTACAGTCTTAATGATGTTAGCTATTTCAAAATGAAGTGAAAGAAACACGAATTAACATGAAGGCTGAGTGTTTTTTTTTGTTTTGTTTGTTTTTAGTTTTTAGAAACAATGGCTGCTTGCTAGTTTCAAATGTCCTAACAAAAGAGTCACTACCCCAAATGTTGGAGAGTTGCGACATTTTATAAAATCAGCTGTCTCCTTTTCTGGAGATGTTTATTTCTTAAAACTCAAGATATTTTTCTTGAAATTAATTATCCTCTGTAGAAAATGCTTCCCTTTGCAAATATTTAACAAAAATACTAAAAACAGTTTAACAGCTAAGACAAAGTAGAGGCCAAATATCATTATTACAATTCCTTCCTATTTGTAGCATGCCTTCTTTCTAGAGATAAGTAAAGCCAGTATTGTATGTTAAATGGCAACTAAGGGCAAGCGCAAAGGGGTAAGTGAAAATACAGTTGTTTAAAAAGAAAAAAGCAGGCATTTTCCCTTCATATAAAAACTCACTGACACCATTGGAACATAAATTTTAGAACATAGGAGTTGAAATGCATTTTCCAGTATAACTGCTAAATTCTTAAGACAAACTACATTTTGATTATTATTTCTTAAATTACGAGTTTGGGTTTCTTTTTCTTATTTTTTGCTTAGAATTAGTAATATGTATCTTTGGTAAATTGGTACTATATTTTAATTTTTAAATACAGTATATATGCATTTAAGAAAAAATTCATAACAAGGCAGTTGTGCTGTGTCATTAAAAATAATTAAGGTTAGTTGTTGAATTAAATATGTCACTCGGGCTAAAAACTCCCAACAGCCAGGCCTCGAACACCGTAACCTCCTCTGACCTTGCTGGACTCTTCAATTGAAATAGACTCTAAAAGCTCCAATGAATAAAAATTAAGAAAACCAATTCAATTGATCTTAATCTTCTTGAAGTTCAGAAATTAACTTTTTTATATGTAACAAAGATACCGTGGCTTTTGGATACAAGAGAGTTCTCCTGGTGGAAATAAGGTGTTTTTTTATGAGGTCCAGCACAGCCACTTGGTCTGATCATTGCAATTCAGTTTTGTATGATGTGTGCATTCTGTTTACCTAGAGCTGAATTCATACACCCAATAAGCTTATTTTATAAAATAGTGCATATTAATTTGTAAAAGCTACTTCCTTTCCCGAGTGCAGTGGCGATGACCTTGTTATGTAGTTAAGCAATGTGCTTACGTCTCAAAGAAAACACCATCTCTTAAGCTCTGCCTCGGGAAAGCTGTGAGCATGCTTATGCAGTAACAAACGAAGGGGTGAGCATTCACTGGTGACAGTGAGGATCTGCTGCACATCCTGTCCTCAGTGGTGTGCTTGGATTGCTTTGGCAAGATGGGCAAATGGCAACTGCTCCTAGTTCAGTGGGTCAGGATTTGTAGACTTTGGTTTAAGCCTGTGGGGAGACATGGCTGGCTCACAGAGAACTTTTAAATCATCCTTGTAACGCTTCTATTCTGTTTACTAGCTGTCTCTTTTATTATGATTCTGATGGCCATATGGGAAGCCCACAGAACTGTGTTGGGGGCATGCAATTCCATGAGTTGAGACGTCTGCAAATAGCACAGAAGGGAATACTTTGCAGGGTGTCTTCTAACCAATGCTTGCTTTTATTTTAAGAAAAAAATTACTGAGGGGCCATGAACCCCAACTTGAACATTACTTCTGAAAGTCAAGTCCACTGTGCCAACTACTGGAATTAGCTCATATCAATACTCTATACAACCAAAGCAACCTACTTAATTAAAATGACCTAGCTCTTGCCATGATCTGAAACCTCTCCCTTCCGGACTCCCTTCTGGAAGGTGTAGTGCTCCAGTATTCAAGCTTTTCTCTTAAGGGTTAGATGGAACTTCCTTATGTCACCTCTGATGGAGGCAGAGGGACTGTGAAGGTGTCTGAGTCACCTGGCACATACAATTGAGCACACTTTGCTCATTTTCACTCCTTTCCTCAAGCCTTAGCCTACAGTTTGTCAGCAGTGGACTAGTCTATGTTGGTGAATCCATGTGATAGAAAGGGGAGATTAACGTAGCCCTAGAAAGTTACGTAGTTCATGAAAACCCCACAGACAGGGCCTGTGCATTGGAACTGCTGGGTTCGGCCTGTAGCCTCTCTGCTTAGTGGCTTTGTGCTGTCCTCACAGAAAGCCAATGCAAGAGAAGTAGCAGCTCAGTGCTGGTTCTCATTACTGATCTAAGGCCTACCAAGATAGTGTGATAATAGCCAGTGCGGACTTTCTGTTGAAGTTTATTGACATAAAAAATAACTCAATGCTGTTTTTTTCTCTTAACAGGTCTAGCTCTGCTGGTGATCCTGATGGCCATGATTTTACTCCTGACAGAAGTTGTTCCTCAGAAGCAAATAAGCAGTAGAAAAAACAGATCGCAGTAGGTAGATCACTTTTCTAATTCCTTATTAACGTTCCTAACTTTCCCATTACGTACTGGAGGTGACCGTGGCTCCAGAGGCTGGACCTTGGGCTCTGTGTGATGGTCATCAGCCTCTTGTACTGAAGTATGTCTGGTCTTGAGGCTAAACTGCACAGAAACATACAAAGCCATCTCTTTCTCTTAAAAACTATTTGAAAATGTAGATAACACCTTTTATACAAGATTCGAATTTTCTCTCTCCAAATCTGATTTGTTCACGTGTGGGAGTCTAGATGGTCCTAAGGCTTTTGCTAATACAGTATTTTCAGTCTAATCCTAAGGAGAAGAATGTGCGTAATTATGAGATTTATCATGAAACATTTGGCAAAAAGGGAAAGAAAAGAATGTTAACTCTATAGGTAGTTTTTATTGGATTGCTATGTGAGTAATAGGGGTTTTAGAGGACTAGTTTCAAAATTACATACCTGCAAAAATGTTCCTATTCCACCTGCCATGAGGTATGGTATTATAAACCAAGAAGCGTTAATGGAGAGTCTCTAGAGGGTTCTTGAGTTGTGTAAAACATTGCCATCTATCGTAAAAGAGCCGATTTTAGGGTGGAGCTATTTCAGAGAGTCAAATGGAAATAACACACACTGTCCACATAGCTACCGAGAAAACTCTAATACAGAGATATCCTTTATTTTGACACAATTGGGCATTTTTTAAGCTATGAATATAAGTTGGTAACTAATAAGTGATGTTCACATGAAGCAACTCTTAAACCTTCTAATTTCTTAATGGACGTCTTCACCATCATAAGTGGAACTGTTTCAAGGCCATGAGGCTGACAGACCTTCTTGGTAGCTCCCAATAACCAGCTATTCTTTCAAAGAAAACAGTGCTCATCTACTCCATTCAGATATAGAAGGCATACAGTATGAACACTGTCTAAAGAAATAGTGGAGGACGAGTGAGGGAAATAGAGCATTGCCTGCTAGTAGAGTGCAGCTGCTTTAGAAACAACAGTAACAGAACCAAGATTCACTGTCATACAAAGACCTTCACTGTACCGAAGTAAAGAGTAGCTGGATGTTGTTTCGGAATGTCACATCAGGGTTCACTTTCAGGTTAGGTTATAGGCAGTAACACTGATCAGACAGTGCAAACTAGGTAAATTGCGTTTCACTGGGGGAAATGAACAGAGGTGCGAATGCTCAGTAGGATACCATTAAGACATAAAATGGCAAAAAATAAATATCAAAACTTTTATCAGTGTAAAAAAGTAACTGGGTTATTGTATAACCTAGAGTCTGGCAAAAAAGGCCTCGAAAAAGTTCTCAGTCTTCAGAAGTTTTACAAATTAAGTGCCCTGTCAGGATTCCAGTCACACTAGAGATTCCATGCTCTCGGCAGGATCCGACTCATCTGCAATGAGAACAGCACCATTTTTGTCCACTGTCATGGGACCGTTTCCATTTTCCTTAGTGCTGACCAAGCTGAGCATTGCTTTGTAGACAAACTGGTACTGTTCCTGAAACACAAGAGGAAGACGCTGTGAGACAGAGGAGAGCTTAGTCATTTCATCTAAGGTAGGAATGCTGATTATAAATGGAGCTGTGAGCAGCATACTAGAGAAACAGGCCATCTACAAAACCACGTGAATCCTTTACTACCCAGACCTATGCTGCTTCACATCCTTTTGATTTCTGTTAACTTGGAACTAATTCTCAATGTGGAGAGTAAATTAAGAGAACAGTAGATCTGCAAATTATAACTAGAGAATGCTATACCCAGGAAAACAGTCTCTCTCTACCTCAGTACTGTTGATCTCTAGGCCCGATGATTCTTTGTTTGGAAAGTCTGTCTCATGCACTGCAGGATGTGTAGCAGCATCCCTGGACTCAACAGACGCCAGAGTACTTCTCTCCAACTGCAGTGTGACAACCAGCAAAATCTCTAGACATTGCCAAGCACCCCCTGGGGTGGGGTGAGGGGCAAAATCACCCCCAGCTCAGAACTACAGCTCCACAGCGTGAGCCTGAGTTTCAGCTGATGTTGTACAGGCCTCATAAATAAGCAGAGTACTTACAATGTCTGTGAATACTCCAGGCCTCATAAGATTGATCATTTTTGCAACCTGGAAAACATCCACAGCATTCTCATTCTCTAGCTGCTGGGACAGGGTGGTGAGGGCACACAGCATGCCTGCTGAAACTGCTCCATACCTTGGGGAACAAAAAAATGTTATTTCAGATTTACTAAGGGACTGAAATTACCCTCATATATTTTCATAGAAGCTAAGTAGATTGTATTGACACTTATTCTACAGCACAAAAAATGAATGAAATACCGGACAGAGGAAGAAATTTGGAGGTAAAATCTTTAGATGAAGATGACATTTGTTTATGAGTGTGAAATCTCTCAAGCTGGTTTTATGAGATACTTAGCTTGATACTTAAGATGAAACGAGAGGTTCAAAATTAGACTTGGGAGAGAGAGAAGATCTGATGTGAGGACAAGTTAGGTGATATTTTAGAGCAATAATGAGAACCTTAATTAAAGGCTATTGAACAAGTAGAAAGGTGAAAGTCTAAAGAATGTTTTTTAAACAATGCCAAAAAGCTAAACTGAACTTACAAAGTAGGAATAAAAATGGAAATATATTGCTCAAATGCAGTCAGAGTGTTCTCAAAACAAGTTTCATATTAAGTAAGTATTTTTGGCACTAAACTTTCTAAATGAGGGCACCTTTTATAAAATTCTTGGAAAAATATGGTTCTCTTTGCTTTACCAAAAGTGGGGGG